ATCTCCACGGGGGGTTAGTTCCAGAGGGTCGGAGCCGCCACAGAGAAGGCTCTCCTCCGGGGACACGCCAGTCGACACTGGCCGGCGGATGGAATTCGGAGGAGGCGTAGTCTGTGGGATCTAATCGGTCTGGTGGAGGTAATTGTCCCATGTATGTGTTCTAAAGTACTGTGAAACCTTTAAACATGAACATTTGTTGCCATCACAGTAATTTGAAGCATCAGTGAAAAGGAATCCACCACCAGTTCTGATCCCAAACCATTTGTTTCTACAGCTTTGTCTGCCACCCTGAGAGGTATGCTGTTAGAGCAATTTAAATCAACATTTGGGAGTGAAAATATCGCATAGCATGTGATTCATCTGTTGAAAGTTACAGCTTTTAAGGTTGCATTATAAAGTTAATGGTAAGCATTGCAATTATAGTAATTTCCATTACAATAATTACTGTTATTATATTTCAGTACATAACCTATTGGGATGGGATTTAGAGAAAAATGAAATGAGATCACAGATGATGGTTAGCTCTCTGTGGACACTGACCTTGGATAATTTAAGAAAAAAAAATGGGTTTGATGTGATAAAGGCAAAGTAAGTATTTTTCTTCCTTTTCATAAAAAAATTATACCACCCTGTGTCTATACTGAATTGTCAGCAGAAGGGTGACATAAATATTAGTAACTCATTTTCATCCTTTCTTTAACACATGAGCTAGCAGAAAAAAAGAGAAGTTCTCTAATAACTTTGGGGAAATTGTCTAATTTCTTCCCAGCATTATTCATGGATGGGATGAATTGGATTTAGGGACCAACACAGATATAACCTGAGACTAATAAACAAAACTGTGACTTTAGCAAACCAAGTTTCATTAGATGAGAATATTAGTAAAGAGTGCAGCACATTCTTTACAGGAAGAGAATCTATTCAAGTAAAAATGAAATGAATGATAAGCAAAAAATGAGTTTGCTTTCATTCTTTTGCACCCAACTATGAAGGGGCTTTCAAAGGGTAGAGACCAATTAACTGTCAGTTCAGAATTAGACATCAGCCCAGAGGTGGGTTCCTACCAGTTCGCACCTATTCGCTAGAACCGGTTCGTCAAATTTACCGAACCGGTTAGAAGAGGTTCCACCAGTGGACCCGGAAAGCAGGCCACACCTACAGAAGAGGTTCCAAAAAATTTTGAAACCCACCTCTGGGCTGATGTCTAATTCTGAACTGACAGTTAGNTCTGACAAGTGTCGTCGGCATCTTCATATCTAGTCACATGAGCGGCAAGCCACTCCCATCCCGTCACATGAGGGGCAAGCCACTCCCATCCCGTCACATGGGTGGCAAGCCACTCCCACAAATAATATTGACCTACAATAAACTCCAGGATGCAAAAGATTATTTGCTTCCTGCACATTGGACTGTCCAGTGGTAGTTGCCCAACAAAAATAGGACAGGGATCACTTCACGATGAATTTTGGGATGTATCTTCACATGCAGCCGGGGGATGTGACTATGGTACCAGAGTTGATATGAAAGAATGGCTTTGGAAATGAGAAAGGGATGAGTGAACCCTTTAAAAAAGGACTGGTAGAAAAAAATTACTCCATCCTGAGAAAGAAAAAAGCATGAGAAAGAAACTCAAGATAAACTTACCTTGATTCTGTTTGGTATCATATAGTGCAGATAAAAAATGGTGCAGGCTTTATTCTACCCTATAACAATAAAAAACATTCCTAGACCCTCCATGCCTATTTCTTAACACATGGCGTAACTCATGTCTATTGCATAATTTACATCGTTTGCATAATGGCAATATGATGCCTCTGGATATCTCCTTATTTTGTCTGAAAAAGAAAAATGGTGTCGGCACTGCAGAAATGATTTTTATTTAGCTATTTTGAATTTTCAGAACTTACAAATTTGGAGACAAATGCAGCCCCAGATTAACTATATAATTCAATTCTCTAAAAGACCATAACAGCTTCTTTTAATAAATTTTATTGTGAATAAAGCTTAGTAGAACTATCTTTTAATCCGTTCCATTATGGAATTAGCTTTTTAAGCAGCAAACATTTCTTGCAGAATTAAAACTCCTGTCTTTAATTATTGTTTCCTTTCCTGCTTGTTGTTTTTTAATGGCAACCTCCCAAATAAAGTAAGATTTCAAAAGGAAAAGAAAAATCTTTTTAAAACTTCCAAAACTATGCTTACGGGTAAGAAATAGTTCTGCACTCGCAAGATTTCTTTTAACAATGTTTAACATTTGGGGCCAAACAGAACCACCACTGAGATAACAAGTTCAGCAATTATATGATGGGCTGCAGCAAGGATTTATAGTTGCAAACATTGTGTCAACATTGTTAAAACAAATAATAAACATATGGTTCTTTCAAACCCAGCTACAAACAAAAGAATTACAGGGTATGATACTGATCACTGTAGGGAACCTATAAATAATACAGCTGACCAACCATCCTATTCAGACTGTTTCTAACTCAAGAAAGAAAGAACATGACTTGCCTTCTGATTTCCCTAGCACATTTTTTTTTACTTCCTGTGAAAGTCAATACTGTATTACCTACCTAAATTCACTCTGCATGTTTTCTGTTTTTCCAGCAAACTGTTCTTTATAGTTTTGCTTCATGCCTCATTTTTCAAAAGCTGGTTGAACCGTTTGTAACTAACACAAAGACAACTGAAAGTAATGCAGAGGTGGGTTCCTACCAGTTCGCACCTATTCGGTAGAACCGGTTCGTCAAATCTACCGGACCGGTTAGAAGAGGTTCCACCAGTGGACCCGGAAAACAGGCCACACCTACAGAAGAGGTTCCAAAATTTTTTGAAACCCACCACTGCTGAAGGGTTAGAGGTGCAAGGATCTTGTAACTTGACAGCTTTAAGACTTGCATGCTTCAATGCCAGAGTTCCTGAGCCATGACTGGAGGAGGAATTCTGGGAGTTGAAGTCCACAAGTCTTAAAGCTGTCAGGTTTGAAGACCCCTAGTTTTTTTTTCTAAAGGGTTAGGGGTGCAAGGGTCTTGTAACTTGACAGCTTTAAGAATTGCATGCTTCAATGCCAGAGTTTCTGAATAGCTACTTGGACCGACCTAAGTACTAATTCATAATTTCATATCCGGTCACATGGGCAGCAAGCCACTCCCATTCGGTCACATGGGTGGCAAGCCACTCCCACAAAGGAGGCCACACCCACAGAGTAGGTTCGAACAATTTTTGAAACCCACCACTGAAGTAATGGCTACTAGATGAGACTCTTTCTGGCTTGTTTCATAGGCACGTTGTGGGTTAGTCCCTATGCACACATTCCCAAGTAAGTATTGTGCTAAGAGCAATACTTTGACTTTCATTTTTAAACATAATAGACAAACAATGTCGGGTCATTGTTTCAGAGAGACTTTCCTTACCAGATTGCTCAATGTCTTCACCAATTACAGGGCTCCCAAGTGTACTTGGAAAGATCTTAAAATTCTGGAAGATACTCAGCCCATGTTGAATTATATACCCTAGCCAAACATCAGGAGCTGATCACAGGATATGTTTTATGACATTTTGTATTACGTCATAAAATGCATTAAGATCATTTTTTTTGTGTTATAAAATGGTTTGCAACATTTGCCAAATTTCAATCCATGGGAGAGCGGAGTCACGGATTTTGGATGCATTATGTAAATGAGCCCATGTGAGGTTCCTTGACTTTGTCTTACAAGTGCACCATTTTGCATAGTAAAGGTTACGGACACAAGTGTTTTAATGGTACATAGAAAGAAGTACCACAGCAGTGGTGGGTTTCAAAAATTGTTCGAACCTACTCTGTGGGTGTGGCCTCCTTTGTGGGAGTGGCTTGCTGCCCATGTGACCGGATGGGAGTGGCTTGCCACCCATGTGACCGGATATGAAGATGCCGACGACACTTGTCAGAACCACCTTAAATTACCTCACACACAGGATGACTACTGCGTTTGTGGTGCAATCTGAACATTGTGTGTGTTGAAGTTGTTTTAACGCAAACCAAAGATGCCTTTTCAAAAACAAGTTTACATCCTATTCTTATACATGCCGGTGCTGTGTGTGAGGTAATTTAAGGTGGTTCTGACAAGTGTCATTGGCATCTTCATATCCGGTCACATGGGCGGCAAGCCACTCCCATCCGGTCACATGGGTGGCAAGCCACTCCCACAAAGGAGGCCACACCCACAGAGTAGGTTCGAACAATTTTTGAAACCCACCACTGCTATGGTTACATGATCAACATTTGGATGCTTGGATGATTCATATTTATGATGGTTGCAGTGACCTGGGGCCATGTGATCAGCATTTGTGACCTTCTGACCAGCAAAGCCAATGGGGAAACTAGAATCAATTAACATCCATATTATTAACAACTGCAGTGATTCACCTAACATCTGTGGCAAGAAAGGTCATAAAATAGGACTCACTTAACAAATGTTTCATAGCAACAGAAAGTTTTGGCTCAATTGTGGTTGTAAGTCAAGGACTATCTGTACACTTGGACACTCCGGTATTTGTAGATAGAAAAGAAATGCTCAAATAAAGGTAATGTTGGAATACTAATGAATCAATAATTAAATAGCAAACGTAAGATTTCCTGAAAGGTTCTCAGATTCATAATATCCAAGCGAATAAAACCAGTGGGCTGCATTAATAAAAGCAATCGGTTCTTTGTACTCTGCATTTATTATACCCCATGTAGAGTAGCATTTCCAATTCTGGGCACTGCATTTTAAAAAGAACAATGAGAAGCTAGAGAGAGTTCAAAAGAGAGCTTCCAGGGTGATAAGAAATCTAGATTCCAAAGGGGAATCAATCAAGTTGAAATTAAAAGAAAGGAGATTCAAGACGAACATTAGAAAGAATTTCCAGGTGCCTTTTAAAGTCAAACAATTGGGAATTCCCTTTTCCTGGAGGTTATCGGATAAGGGAGAACCACCTGTCAGAGATGTTTATTTCTGCATGGAACAGAAGGATGAACAAGATGCCCAAAAAATCCTGTAACTTTCATAACCCTCTAGTTTCTTGGAAGAAACTAGAAAAAAATGAGCCTCTGCCACGATAAACCCATAATAAATAAATATTTGGACAGCCTTTGATATCTCATATCTTATGTTAGGATCCCTTTAACCTACTTACCTTTATAGTAGGTCCAATGAGGGATGTAACCAGGTAATGTCATGGGATTATCACTTGAAGATATATCATTGTTCCTTAATTGTCTTAAATTATCAACTTCCTGAGGGCTGGTCAGAACTGACACAGATGGAGGGGGATTTTTCCAGAAATCTTCGGTTCCTAAAGATTCAATTTCCATTCTCTGGTTTTTATCCAAGTAAATATCTTGGAGATCTGCATTCCAAATTGCTTTGAATGATGTCTCCCGAACCTCTGGGAACTTAAGTACTTTTGTGATTAACTTCCCATTAGCTAAACTATCCACTCCATCTGGTGTTGTATTTTGAGAACTGCAATTTATATGAAAAGACACGACTGACCGATGCATTTTTTGAGTATTAGTCAGAAGTTGATCAACAGGTACCAAAAGAGACTTGTCTACATAATATATTGTTTTTGGACACTGTTGGGAAATAGTGAGGTGAACACTTGATGTGAAAGAAAGAGTGTTATCCGGGAGGATCATTCTCTTTGGGGGGCTAGAAATCCATTCAGATTGCCTCTTGTAGCTCTGCAGACAAGACTCAGAATCCGCTATTTCACGGACACTTCGATTTTGGTCATTAACTTGAGAATGCAAAGATTCGGAGAGTTTGCGTAAGCCAGTTACATCTGAAGTTGGAACCGTTGTTATTAGCTGCTTTTTTTCCTGGCATTCCAAGCAATACTCAAAAGTATTTGCCTGAATTGTATTGTTCGAAGGTGGAACAACTCGCTTAGCAGTAATTGTAATGGAAGCAAACCCTTTCCTCTGGTTATGCCACGGTTTCTCTTCTTTGCTGTTAAATACATTGTCCTCCGAAGTTGCCTGAAATCCTAATTTTCTTGGAAGAAATACGAATGCTCTATTAATGTTGACTGAGTTATGATTAGCCAAAGATTGGTTCATGTGATACCCATCAGATTGGGTGATTACAGACCGCACAGGGAAAGCAGTCTTATTTGCTCTTGATTTATTTTCATCAATCGTCTGTGAAATGAGAATAGATGAAATCATTTTTGCATTTTGTAATGGAAGGGAGTCCTGCGGAGGAAAAGAATGCAAATAAGTAACGTGCTGTAAACCAGAAACATAGAGGGGAAAATGTACATAGAAGAAAAAAATTACATCGAAAAAAATTATGCTTAAGATCAGAAATGATTTAAATTGTTTAAAGTTAGCTCAGCAAGAAGAAGCTAAGATCAATGTAGAGATGTC